TTACCCCCCCCCCCCCTTCCGGGATCTGTTATCTCTCTCTACCTGCACAAGTTTTCATGTCTTTGTCAAGGCACTACGGGCTCACCATAGCCCGTGCTACTTGGAACTTTTTGTTCCCGGTAGCGAATCTTTAACAACAACATTGTCTTTGTCTCTTTTCTACCCCCCCCCTACCCCCTACCCCTCTGCCTACCTCATTCTCTCTCTCTCTCTCTCTCTCTCTCTCTCTCTCTCTCTCTCTCTCTCTCTCTCTCTCTCTCTCTCTCTCTCTCTCTCTCTCTCTCTCTCTCTCTCTCTCTCTCTCTCTCTCTCTCTCTCTCTCTCTCTCTCTCTCCAGTCAGTTGCCTGGTCCACACACTTCTGGTCCAGTCAGTTAGGGTGCCTGGTCCACACTTCTGGCCCAGTCAGTTAGGGTGCCTGGTCCACACTTCTGGCCCAGTCAGTTAGGGTGCCTGGTCCACAGTTAGGGTGCCTGGTCCACATTTCTGGTCCAGTCAGTTAGGGTGCCTGGTCCACACTCTCTGGTCCAGTCAGTTAGGGTGCCTGGTCCACACTCTCTGGTCCAGTCAGTTAGGGTGCCTGGTCCACACTCTCTGGTCCAGTCAGTTAGGGTGCCTGGTCCACAATCTCTACTTCTCCATCTATTTTCATCTCAAGATTAAAACTGGTGAGTTGACATCGGAGAAATTAATTAGTTTTATATGAATGCTCATCAAAAGAGCTGAATGGTTAACAGCATGGTTGAATAGTTAGCAGAGGGTTAAGTTACCGTTATGAAAAGTTGTTTTTTTAGGGTAAATTTGATGATGAATTACTTCTTTGATGACTATAATGATGTCCTGGTTTTGTGCAATCATCATACGTTTCTCACCATAGCTTCACACACCATCGTATCAATGTTGTCGTGTCTCGCGTCAGAAACTCTTTCGGACGCGTTCTTGCATTTCGCTTCCAGGAATCCGGTGGATCCTGGCCGTTCGCCCAACTGTAAACACGAGAGGTTTGTTTTTAAACTCCGAAAGGAGATTCGAATTTGAAATATAAAGAAGTTCTTTATTTTTTTTTTTTGGCCACAGTTGTAATTGTTTACTCTGGGAAAAAAGTAGATTTTTTTTTGCATTGTTGATTTTTTTTGTTTAATGTTATACGTGTTTTGTTTGTTCTTGTGGGTGTTGAATATGGAGTTTGTAGCTTGTTTGCTCGCAGGAAAAATAGATTTTCTTTATTGTCAAATTTATATAAAAAAAATAGGGTTATTGAATATGGAATTATGTCTGTGGTTTTGTATCTTTTTTGAACTAGTAATTTTGAATTTTAATAGCGGGAGTATTTTTTGTAGTTTGAATGTGTTTGATAATTTACATTGTTTTCTTAATGTTATATAGAGAGGGTAAAAGTTTGCTTCTTAAGACAAATGTCGCTGGCTCCTACTTCGTCAAACTTTGCTCATTTTTTCAGGGGAAAGGGCCAAGCCATTTCAAATTGATAGCACTTGGATGGGGTCAGGATAAGGATTTGGGATGGGCCGGGGGAGGGAAAGGAATGGTGCCCAACTACCTTGATGGTCGGGGATTGAACGCCGACCTGCATGAAGCGAGACCGTCGCTCGTCAAGCTTTGCTAACAAACCCAAAATTTGACCTTAAATCGTATTACTAACGGTCGTGTTAACGAGGTTGGAGTTAAGCTTCTTGGTTAGTATCGAGTCTCGCCTTCATGGTAGTGTCTACCTTGTGGTAGAG